TGAGAGCCAGAAGGGTGTCAAGTTATATCGTTATACATGGGGATCAATGTCCTTTTAGCTCTCAACAGAGGAGATACATATTGGATACATGTCTTTGAAAGTTCAACATATGGCTTAATGTCTTCATTCTTAGTTTTGGATCCTGGTTCTGTATTTGTTCGAACAGTGTTTGAATAACAGGGGAATATAGAGGGAAAGGAAAGAACTATAAATCATCTATCACTGTGTGAAGAAGTAGAAAATACATGTAGTATCCAATGTCGTCATATAAGATCTGAACATGAAGTTAATGAAGTTTCAACAATGTAATTAAAGCATAATTGAAGTAAAGGATGAGGCTGAGTGTAGAAATTTATCCTTTCAGTTTTGCACGTCATTATGTGATGTATTCAAGTGTAACACGGACATTTGAAATAGAAAGTACAATGAAAAAATGATAGTGAAAAAGACTACCCGGTATTGGCAGTCAAAATTTTTAGATCTACATTGTATGATTATATACATTCATGTATTGTATGATAAGAAATGAAATATAAAAGAGAATTTAGGTCATTTCCTGAGTTCATATAAGATATAATAAGCAACTTGATGTACAATGTAAATGTAAGTGTCGCTACACAACTCATGCAAGACTTTAGCTTTTCATGGTATTATTATTTATTACCAGTGATCTTTGGAATAATCAGAGGAGGAAATTAACACAGTAGGAAGAAGAAGAAGGTAATTAACTTTTATGCTAGAGTACTTGGAAAGAAATGAAAGTATACCAAAAAAATGAGATCATTTCCGTAATATATTTGTATTAAAATAGAACTAGAACAAGTACCTGCATAATAGGAAGTCGAAAATATGAAAATCATTTCCTTTTCTCTTCTATTCTATTAAAGAGAAGATCAAGTTCTGGTGAAGATGAAAATGATTTGTGAATTTACTTCTCATTCATCTTGTGTCCTTTTGGAAGAATTCATAGCAGAAATCTCCCTTCAATAAGATAGAAGAAACTGAAAGAAAAGAAACTGAAAGAAAATAGAAATGGGTGGAAAGTTTGGACCAAACTTTCATCATGCCACTTGTGTAGTCCCATATACCAATTTTTTTTGCATTGTATGTTGTGTTTTGCAACATTTTTCCACTTTCAGTTTCTTTCCATTTTGATCGTGATTCCAAAACCTCAGAGTTTACATCAGTTCACATCTCCTGTGTAATCGGACTTTCCCAACTGATACCGGACACTCCCTTTCACAATGTAATCGCATGACCAGCTCTTTACATTATCTTTTATAAAGGGATTTGGTATCTTTGTCTGAGATTCTGAAACAAAATCCTGGAATTAGCTCATGCTGCAATGATAATTATAAACCTTTAGGTCAGTCAGGAACCCCATGACTTTTACAAGCCGATCGCCTGTCTGATTATCAAGATATTTATGATTGGAAATCGAAATTTCAAAATTTGATTTCTTACGGTTTTTTAACACTATACAGTCTATTGGGGAAAATGAGTATGGTAAAACCGGTCACTCAAAGATTTTTACTTTTTAAGGCACTCCATGATCATTTTTGTAGGGCTTCAATATTACACCATATCACAGACACTGATAACACAGGGCCTTGCATTTCTGATTTGACATTTAAAAATGATGCCTTTAAGACAGCAGTGATCATGTGGTGCATGTATGTTGTAACAACATGATCTAGAACACCTACAGTCCTGGAAACAAAGCACGGAGAAAAGACAGGAAGCAAGCAGTGTGCAGCGAGATAGATTATTTCGTTTCAAGTTCAAATGTCAGGAAAATTATCTGAAACGCCTGAGGGATAGCATCTAATACCACAATTTGGAAGGGAAGAAGCGTGTTGCGGGGTGGGTAGATTGTGGGTAGTAGGGCTACGATGTTCGGACATATGAGAAGCAGGAGGCTACCATTTCGTTGGTCTTGGGAAATCGAGAAACTGGGTGAATCGACATCCTGTGCATGATAGTCTAAAACCTGAATAGCAGAGTATGAAGAAATAATTTTAATGTGTAAGGTTAAACTGTAGCAGTTTACAGTATTCTTACAAGGTTTTAGTATCTGTATACAGTCAAACCTGTCTATAGTGGCTGCCTAAGGGAAACACAAAAAGTGGTCTGTTTGGACTGGCGGTCTTTGTAGACAGGTTCCTTTAGTACATGTTTCAAGGAGAAAGCATTTTCAAGGGAAACAAAATATGTGGTTTTTGTAGAGAGGTGGTCACTTAAGCAGGTTTGACTGTACCACACACAATCTTACATTTGTTTCTTTCCATTTTGGAAGTCAGATCCAAAGCATATTTCAGTGTTTCCCTAAAATGTTGTGACAAGATGACTTGTCATTGAGGTTAAGAGAGGCCAAAGATTCTGTTGACGGAAGCAACTGAGACAGGTTATTCAGGACATGGATTTGTATATCACTAGAGACATGAATACAAAGACAGTTCTTTGACATCTAGTTAGGAGTACAAAGAAGGGTCTTCATTCATACAGACAGCAATGAATGGGCCACTTTAATAGAGGGATCCACAGCTGTATCGCATGTAATTTATGGATTCTAAAAAATTGTACTTTCCTGAATCGTCAATGCCATTCTTCTGATTTCCTCTCACTTTGTTTATCAGTTTTCTGTCAACCTTGTTCATACAGCCAGACCAACTCCAAACCAAATGATAGGGTGAAGGGTGAAGGCTCTTGAGAGAAAAACAGAAATTAGTGATATTTATGTACACAACAAACTTGAGAGTTATCCATCACTACCTCACCTCACAATCCGCTGTCCAAATTGCCAATTTGAGATTTCCATAGCTATATCGATAACGATTTGAGATTTCTATAGCTGTAATGATCTCATGTTTCAAACATTCATAACTTTCTTATTGGTTTTAAGTCATTTCAAACTGTTGTAATTCTGTTTCTACAAAGGGTTGATTGTCCTTTAATTTTGCTGAGGAAAAACTAGACAGAAATGCCCTCCAAAGCTAAATGAATTCATGCGAGGATTTAGACCATGGAGTTCATAATAGTAGCTATTACAAATACCAGCTCCATGGTTTACCAGTTCAATGCTCTCACAACTTACAAGGCTATGAGTCATGAGAATTTGTAAGAGAAGAACTATGTTTCGAGCTTTCGGCAAGGGTAAAGATGAGAGGATTAATGTTAATACATGTTGGCTAGCGCCTACATTTACATTAGATGTACATATAATTTGAAAAGAGGGGAAAAGGGTAACAAGAATAAAAGAAGAGGCTTGCTGTGGAGAGTAACCACTCAAAACAATGACAGATAGGCAGAAAATATTTTTGTTTTGTTTTCAAAAAGGGGGAGTGGAATAGCCAAACTTTACTTTCCTGACAAACAATCCAAGTGTGAAGTGACAAAGAAAACAAAACAGAAAAACCTGAAGTGTGTGAGGAACTGAGCAAGAACAAAGTTATGAGGTAAAATTAAAACGGGAAGGATCGCTGTAGAGAGTAATAACTCAAAATATTGACAAATAGGCAGAAAAGGGTGTGTTTTTTTCAAAATGGGGACTGGTATAATAAACTAAAATTTACTTTTTCAAACAAACAATCAGTGTGAAGTGACAAAGGAAAATAAAAGAAACACCTAAAGTGTGTGAGGTGAAACTGAGCAAGAACAGGGTTATGAGGTAAAATTAAAGCGGAAGGATTGATGTAGAGAGTAACAACTCAAAATATTGACAAATAAGCAGAAAAGGTGTTTTTTCTTCAAAAAGGGGGAGTGGTATAAAAACCAGAATTTACTTTTCAAACAAACCAATTAAGTGTGAAGTGACAAAGAAAACAAAACAAAAAACCTGAAGTGTGTGAGAAACTAAGCAAGAACAAGGTTTTGAGGTAAAATTAAAATGGAAGGATTGCTGTAGAGAGTAACAACACAAAACAATCACAAATAAGCAGAAGAGGATTTTTTTTTCTTCAAAAAGGGGGAGTGGTACAAAAACCCAAATTTAATTTCCAAACAAGCAATCAAGTGTATAAAGGTGACAAAGAAAAATACAAAAGAGCTGAAGTGTGTGAGGTGACACGAAGTAAGAACGAGGTTACATTAAGTTCATTCTTTCATGTTGGCGGCGACTTGTTAGGTAGAGAGGGTCTTTTAGCTGTAGTGTTATGCAGTACTGTGTTCACAGCCTGTTGCAATTAGCAAGTGCTTTTTCTCTCGCAATACCATGCTGTGCATTAATGCTATCCCTCAAGAAAACTCTGCAAACTCTGCCCATAATCAAAACCAATTTGCGCTCTCTATTTCATCTGGTCCTGATTTTAACGAGGGAAACCCCTAGAGTGTGCTCGGGAATAATCTATGATGATTTTCTTTTGTGAAATTCTATTTTCTGTTTTAATTGGCTTGTTTCTGTATCAGTGGGGGCTCCACCCTAGTTTAACGCAATATTACATGTAGCACTTAACGAGGATCACTAAAAGAAATTGGGAATTTGAGGGCAACCAGAAGACAAAGTTGGCAAATAATGGGGACAGTATTCTCATCATTATCGCATGCTGAAATAAGTACATATTAAGTTAAATACCGGTACTCCAATTTAATTCAGTTTCAGATGTTAATGTTAATTACCAAACATGTATACACGTAGCTTGCAGTGAAAAGACAGTACAGGAAAAAAAAATTAAAAAATAGATAATTACAATGTTACTGAAAGAAAAAATTAGGTGAGGCACTTCTATTTAGATTACCTCTCTTCACCCAGGTTTTGTAGTCATTGTAGTTTATGGAGGCATGATAAACATTTGAATCATGCTCTACCGCCTTAAGATAGTACAAGTGAATAACACCCGCTGTCTTTTACAGTTGCAATGTAAAATGTCAGCTGTAGGCATTTCTTCAGTGGTACTATTAATTGTTTAAAAGAATTCTAATCATGAAATCTTAGAGCACCTACATCCTAGTTATGCCATGACTAACATTCAAATTTTTTATTTCTCTTTTCTTGAAATCTGCAGTAGCTCAAGGGGCGCCAAGACGTTCCGGCCCAAGAAGAACATTCCAGAGGGTTTCCACCAGTACGAGCTGATGAAACATGCCGAGGCGACGCTTGGCAGCGGTAACTTACGGCAGGCCGTCAGTTTACCGGATGGAGAGGACATCAACGAATGGGTCGCGGTCAACAGTAAGTATTATATACCTCTCTTTTGAAATCTAGCCATCTGATTGGTCAAAATTGGAGTCGTGATTTTAGCCTTGCCCGCCTACCGGTTAATAGTCTTTTGAAAGATGCCCGCCTACCAGTCAATAGTCTTTTAAAAGATCTTGTCAAAGAACAAGGGCAATAGTGTTACGGAAAGTGGCAGGATGTATTTACTTCGGTGTACCCTTCATTCTATCCTACATCATGATTGACAGCTATAATTCTGGATACAAAATCCTTAGAATTGGCATCATTCTAGATCACTGTACTTAATAACTGTAAGTCATTTCCTCAAATGTCTTAATACAGGTTTGTGTGTATTTAGTCCCAAATCTTGCTATGCTGATAAAGTGATAGTTTAAACAATTTTATCGTCATGATTGTCTGGCTCCTTCCCCCTGCCTTTTAATCTTTTTAGGGCTGATGGCTTGAATATGTCGGGCACCTTGCCATTTAAGTCAGATACATGCAGGCCTAATGTACATGCAGTGCAGCGTGAAGGAAATGTCATAGGGTGACCTACGATAATTTTAGTTTGTAGGAAATGTAAATCCAGTATTAGCAGTTCTTGGAATGCTTATACATGTATGAAACCATGTCAGGCTATGTGGAATATGGTGTATGAGATTCAGAGTTAAAAGCCAAAGGGGGAAGCCCCTGATATTCCTCTGATATTCTAGATTTCCTTTCCTCATCCACCTTCATGAGGTTTGCAATTAATCCCCATTCTAATTCCCATAGACATAATACAGGGGTCACCCAGTTCGAGTAGGCAGAGGGTTAACAAGATGCCATGCGTACATTTTCTTGTGGATGATGTCACTTAGTTTCAAAGAAGGGGGTAAAAAGTTTATAAAGTAAAAATACTACCAACATAACCCTATGGTTTGTGATAGTGTCATAGAGATTTGGGAGACCCTTTTACACAGAGTTAACGCCCTTTCTGGCTCTTAGCAGATGACATATATATGAAGATGATTTGATCCTATGAAATGATGTAAACAAGACCAAATGATGATAAGCTATTTGAAGCTTATAACCTTTCATTCCACCATTTATGAAACAAATTTGACCATCTCATTAGGTTACTAAGGATTACTAAGGATTATGTTACTAAGGTTACTAAGGATTAGGTTAATACTGAGGACCCGTCTGGCATCAGATGCGGGCTGAGGCCAGACCGAGGCCAGACTGATGCTAGACTGATGCTAGACTGATGCTAGACTGTTTTCAGTTTGAATGCTCCATCCTGCACAAAACCAAAAGAGGAAAAGCGACCTGAAGCTTCTTTATTTCACTATTTATGAAACAAAAATGTGACCATTGCATTAGGTTAATTGAATGCAATTCCTTTACATATTGCTCATCCCTCAAAATACAACAACATTTATTAAAGTGTTTGTCTGTCTCCTTACATACCCTCCAGGCAATACACTTGAATCAGTTGAATGTATTATGAAAAATGTCCCTGAATCCTGCTCCAAGGGCATAGAGAACATGAACAAACATCCAGATACTAGCCTCGTTGTAAGGCCCACATGCCTTTTTTTTTCCTTCTCAGAGGATGTACTGAGAAAAAAGGAAATTACCTCTACCATATTTTACTGAAGATAAAAACCAATGCTTGATACATGTACCTGTACAGGGAAATAAGCCTAAATACTGGATTTAGTACTATACTGTTTGTAGGATATGGTAAAATTGTACTTTTTATTTTATTGGAACCTCTCCAAATTACAATGCAATATAATTTTAAGGCATCAAAACTAAAAAATAAACAATAGTGTACCCTGCTTTAAGGGCCAGGAAGAAAACTCATAAAGGCTTGTTTCAGATATAAGGCCATGGTAAACGTGCTGCGCCAAAAAGAAGAAAGAAAAAAAATAAACACCTTTTGTTGTGCAAAGGTCATGGGCATGTTCATTATTCAATGAGCTTTGTGTTTCATACAGGATACAGTAATGTGAAGCACATTGCACTTTTTACTATCATAAAGTTTAAAAAGTCATGGTTTTGCTGCGTCATACGGTATGTAAACAAGGCTCAACGGTCATTCTTTAGTTGAATTTTTTACCTTTGATTCATGATCATCATTGGGGACCCTAGACATCATCATGTACATGTATATGTAGAAATGTAGTCATTACATTCTAGGAAAACTTGAAATCAATTGATATAAAATGAAGAGGATTACAACAAAATTACTAAGTTTATTTTGTAAGGCTTTTGTAAAGTGTAGTAAGGAAATCTATTCTTATATTTCCTATCCACACCCTCTCTTATAAACAGTTGATATTAATCACAACTATGTACAAAAGAAAAGAGACTGCAAACTTGCGATTGATTACAGGACTTGCGATTGATTTGGATCAATCGCAACTCTTTACATGACGGGGCCCTGGTTAATTATTTAATAGTGTCCCATAATTGAGCACTTTATGGGATCATATATCAGATCAAAGTGCATTAATGACTCATACCACAAGTACAACAGTATATATATATATATGAGTCCAGCTGTAGTTTATAACAGTCTTCCAATGGTAGTTCTATTCAAACAATATGATTATGCATGCTTCCAAACTGAAAATGAAACGTATAAATGAAGAAGTGAAAAATCCTGTCATAGGAGTAGGGATCCGAATTGTACTTTGTAGAGCTTTTATGGCTTTTATGGCAGTCCAAACTTTGGCACCCAGCGGTCCAAGTGTCCCTGGTGCCAGTGAGTGTCAAGTGCTGCAATACCATGTATGTACTGTACATGAACATCTTTGCTGTTCCTTTGCCTTTGTTCTGAGAGAAAAAAGAAACAATCTTTCACTGAGAATTTCTGTCTGCATTCAGTATTCCTCTTAGTTTGCTTTAATGATTTATGTCATTTTTGTATAAAGAACATTTTCATGGTTATTGCATCAAGAGTGTAAAATGAAAGAGCATTCATTCACAGCCCTCAAAAATGATCACAGGTACCTTTTGTTTTGAATAATCCCTTTGTATGCCTTTTTGTTTACATGTCCGCCTCGTCATTCGATCTGACATTAATTTCTTAGAAGTATTTGATGGAACATTACGGTTAGTGGAATCTCCTTGAGACAAAAAGTCATACACATTCAATACTTCTAAATGGCAGGACCTTTGGTCTTTTATTCAATTCCTGAAATTATTTGATGAAACCCATGTAAATCCTTTAATGGGTACTTGATTTCTGGTAAACAGGACTCTGTCCTTGTTTCTTTGAAGGGAAGGTCTTTCATAGAAGGCCCTTTGTTGTTGTGTACAAAATCATCTTTATTGAATGGTTCAGACAGTCATTGGGATTTTTAGAGCCTACTTGGCACTTGAAATAACTTTTTCAAAGAGCCAAAGGTCAAATTTAGAATTTTTAAATGAACAAACTTCTGTTTTTATGAAATACATTATCATTCCCATTTGTTATGTATCTTTATTGTGAAATATATACCGTTTCACTTTTTGTTCTATTGCAAGGACGTGATTATGTTTTGGAAAATAATATTGTAATTCAATATTTCACCTATTCCAAGTAGAACTATACAAATAAACCAAAAGATATTAGTTGTAGGCAAGGACATAGGAAACAGGAAATATACTCTCCTGAATATTATTTTTAATTATGAGCAATATGCAATTTATAAATGTTACGGTAAAAAGATTGTCAATGATTCTGTTATTTACCTGCATGCTTTGTTTTTTAAATTAAAGTCATTGCTAAGATTGTTTTTAAAATATGAATGTTTAGCAAAGAAAATAATACTAAGTTGGAAGAATTGTTGAATATACTTTAAATTTTAGCCAATGTTTTTTCTCATTCAATCATTGAGTAATTATGTATTGAAATTATGGAAATAAACATCTCGCTTGAGGAAAAGAGAGAAAAAAATATATTAATAACTACATTGCTACAATTTTGATTGAATATTGATTATTAATTCATAAATGCAGAGCAATTCCTTCCCTTAAAATACAAGTTCCTCCCCTTAAAATACAAGTTCCTCCAAATAATCTCCATCAAATATCAATATGTACATGTACCAAAGTAATTCCAGGGCAATAATTTCTTATTTACCGGTAATAAGAATCCTATATTGCTTCATTCATACATGTAGTATTCCTTTTTTGTGGATGCAGGCCCTTCATACATTTCCCCTCTGATAATCTCTATTTTACCGCATGTTGGTAATTCTAGTGCAACAAATTTTATCAATTTAAGCATTGTTTATTAATTCATTCGAGGAATTTGTTTCCTACATACAGGTGCATACCTGTACATGTAGGTGTTCCTTTAAATTTAAAACAATCTCCATGATATATAAATGTAAATGGTTCCTGTACAACTATTTTGATTGAATAAGAATCCTGTATTTCTTCAAACTAATTATAGATGTCTTTGAAGAGTTCCGTCATTGCATCCGTGTAAGACTTTATCTGAAACAATATTCAATTCTTCATCAAATATTAATAACTTTAGTGCAATGATTTTGATTGAATAGAATCCTGCTTTAGTTCCAAATATAGAGTAAATAATTTCCCTAATAATGTAGGAGATCCTCTAAAACTATGAAATATCAATGTTTGCACTGCAACAACTTTTTACAGAATAAGAGTCCTATATTTAGAGGATTTCCTTTAGTACATGTATGAGTTCCTGTAAAATAATCTCAAATTCTCAATCAGATATCCATAACTCAGTACAACAATTTTGATTGATTAAAAAGAATCCTTTATTACTTCACTACATATATATTGTAATGCCCAATTCTCCATCATGTATTCATTGCTAATACAGAGGAATTTCTCTCTCCTTTTCAAGAAGTTCCTCATAAACAATCTCCATCGAATATCAATAATTCAGTGCAACAATTTTGATTCAATATGAATCCAGCATTACTACATAATATAGAGGAATTCCTATGGAGCGAGTCAACAATGGAATACCCTACTGGTGACTCACCACCTCAACTCAGGCAGAGTTCATTGAGAAAAATAATCTCGTAGATAATCCTGTTATGAATATTTGCCAGTTTTTATCAGGGGGATTTTTAAGTGAGATTGTAGGGATAGGATTGTTTTTATGCCCGAAGCCAAGGGAGTTTTGATTGGTTATGAACAGCTGGGCTGAAAAGCATGATTTAAGGGATATTTGGAAAACAAACAACTGATTAAGTTTTGAATGAAAGAGCTTGTGTGTTTCATACACAGAGTGGCCCTATATTTCATTTTTAGCTTGTAGTTTACGGGTACATTTCTTGCAGTTCCGAACGTTAGTTGTAAATGTATTGCAGGCCAGTGCAAGTACAGCTACGTTTATCATGTTTTAGTGCAGGGTCTTACTTCTCAATGAAATCATATTTTTATTCTCAACCTACATGTAGTCTCATACAAGAATTACATGTATTGAGTTTACATTGTTCTTACGTTCCTGCATTGTGATGCCCATAAAATAAACAAACAAAACACACAAACAACAAACCACCACCACAACAACAACAATCAACAACATCAGCAAAAATTACATGTAGCTGGATATTATATGAAATTTGCAGTAATGGGAGAAAAGCATCAATCAAAATAATATTGACTTTTTGAAAATCATGTTTACCAACTCAACAAAAAAGGAATGAAATTGTATTTGTTATATTAATTAAAAACATGAATGCTTATTGATTTGAATTAAATTATATGTTATGCATGGCACAGACTACAATTAGGCCAATATATTTTTATCAATTAATTTACAATGATTTTTATGTGTTTCGACATAGAGACTTGGTTTTAAAAGGTTATTAGACCATTGTATGATTTTATACAATAATATAAGAGAGTGTAGGTTATTCACAACTCTTGGTTCTTTGTGGGGAATTCAGTACAGTTTGTATAAGAAAAACAACGGAATGCCCCTCATTCTAATCACTGAGGCCCTCTGGCTGTGTCCTTGGCAACAGAGTAGATGAAAGTTGCGAATTGGAAATGCAATCCTAGATGGGTATTGATCCATCGTCTCACTCAATCGTCAGGGGAGCCGTGTTTGCACGGCCGACGGACGGTAGAACCTCACTTTGCGTGCATGGGTCGAATTGTTTGCATTGCCGATGAAGGGACCGCACGTCAAAGTCGACAAGTTGAATATCTGAATTTGGATTGTAGATTAATTGGATTGTCCATCCAATATTGGGCATCTATATTTTATCTGTAAATTGGCACTTACTCTGATCATATGGTGGTGTGCAAAATCAAATAAGCATTGAAAGTTGGTCATTGTCAAAGTAAATGTAGATGTGAACCTTTTTTATAGTCATTGAGAACTAGACATTCATTTGTCCTTACTTCAGTATATACATGTAGTAAGAATAGACAAGTCTGTTCATAAAGATTGTTTGATTTATTCTCATTATCTTCAATTCATGATCAAGGTTTTAATAGGAAGGTCTGCCTCCTTTCTTACAAAAGGTAATAGTGGACAAGGTTTCATATGAAGCAATTTGGGTTTTTTGTTTGTTTTTTGTATAGCGTGGTTAGTATTACATGTAGTAATCTGAATTTACCGTTACTGTGATGGAGAATAAAACTGAAACGAATGAGAATAAACCTAAATCCAATTAGGAATTCTAAATAATTCACTGTATGTATGCAGCTAGCGTGCGGTATAAGCGGAGAGCAAAAAGGCATTGCAACAGAGGCATGACAAATGCATCAGCGCTACTTTACAGCTCTCATGTTCTGCTGCCACCGTAGGCCAAAATCCATCAGAATCTGTTGGAAGAATGCAAGCTATGTAATGCATGAGGGGGGTAGTATGTGGCGATTACCTCCCAAACACCTCGTCTCTGGCTCGCTGGCATTGAAGGATTACCTCCATTTGCAGGCAGTGATCGAGCGGAGGGAGATTTTTCTAGAAGGGAAAAATGAACTTGTACTTAAAGAGAAGGTTGAGTTCTGGGTTGAGGTGTAAAATAATTTGTGAGCATTATCATTGTTTTTATGCAAGTGTGGAACAACTTCAGAGGAAAAATGTTCCCTGAAAGGCATGGCTCTTAATTCAAACGCCTTCAGGTATTCTAAATATGACATGTAACAGCTTAAAACTGAGGCCTGATTTTTTTTTTATGCCAGTGCTTGTTACTTTAATAAGACTGGGCCAAATTCCTTATTACATGTATTTTGATGATTCATGAACCTTGCAGTACACACCAATACTTATATACTAGATGATCAACCTTTTCTGATTGATTCCACACCGTTTCTTTCACAATGCAATCGCATGACCAGAACTCAACTTTATCTTTAAATATGCTACCATGCACATTGTCTGGACAAGTGTAAAGAGAAACTACCAAGTGCAGTGTATGTACATAGTACATGTCATTCATAATCATATTAGAATTATTTGATTATGTCCTTTAGTACACAGTGTGTTGAATTATGTTCAGAGGCATTTTGACATACTGTGTACTCAGGTTGTTTGTTTTATCTGATGTCTTGTCAGGTCTATTATTAGAGGCAGTGGAGTAGCAGGTAGACGAGTTCACAGATGTACATGGTATTCACATACCAATTTGAACATCACTTGGGGAAAAAGTGAACCATTTTTAAAAAAAAAATGTGGTCATGCTAAATATCATGGGCATATTGTGGTTGTCCCCTCAAATTATCTCACAAATCAATCCTGTATTGTGTTGTGGGGGAGCACAAGTCAGAAAAATCTCTTGACAACTGTCAAGCTACAAAATAAAAATTGTCACATCTGTAGACGCTGATTAAGTTATTTACTCCTGAAGGCAAATAACAAGAAAAGAAAACACAAAAGGTGAAAAAAAGGAAAAATATTACATTTTTTGGTGCTCAAAAAAATTATTATCATCAAAAAATGTGCAGGGGGTGGGCCCCATGTTTAAAAAATATTATTATAACAAATTGTGCAGGGGGGGGGGACATTTTGTGATTGTGTGGGCATCATGCTAAAATAAAGTTTTGCCAAGGGGATGCCCCATGTTTAGCTTGTAGCACCCCTCCCCCTCCCCCTCCTCCTTACCCCCCTCCCCCTTACCCCTCCCCCTTACCCCCTCCCTACCCCTTCCTCCTCTCCAGTGTAGCCATAGATACTGGATATTGATGGGTTTGTATAACATGCTTTCTCCCTGGAGATGTGTGGTGTTCATGTATTGATCATTGTGTACCCTAATTGAGATTAATCATTAACCATAGGGGCCTTTTGATGATTGTACGTCATCATGTACATGAATAGAGGGGAAAGTGATTAGTTACATGTATATGTAACACGATGTTCGTGTACACATGTATGTAGAGCTGCTTAGATTTTCTAAGGCATTTTTTCAAAGTAAATGTTAGCCGTGCTTGTTTTTTATAGTTAAATATTATGTTCAAGTTTCTTATTATTTCTGTAATACATCATGCCTTTTTTTGTCGCCCCCCCCCCCTCCCCTTGTCTCCTTTTCTCCCTTTCTTTGCCCTACTCTCTGTCTCTCTGTCTCTCTCTGTCTCTCTGTCTCTCTCTGTCTCTATGTCTCTCTATGTCTCTATGTCTCTCTATGTCTCTCCTTTTCCTTTTTCCTCTTCTTCCTCTCCCTTTCTCCCTTTCTCTCTCCCTTTTCTTTTTCTTTTTCTGTCATTTCACCCTGTGTCTTTTTCTTTTCCCCTCCCTATATATCTTTCTCCTCTATTCCTTGTTCTCTCTCTCTCTTGATTTATTTCCATGTCTAGATGCTCATTTCCCCATGTGTAGTGATCTAATTTTTCTCCATTTGTTCTTTTTCTCTAGGCTATTTCTCTCACTCTCTCTCTCTCTCTCTATCCTCTCTTTTTTAAATATTTTTTTAAACTATCTTTCTCCAAAAACTTCTTTAATAGTATTTAAATTCAACACATATTCATGTATATCCTCTTTTATTTCTGTCTCTTCCCTATGCAGCGGTGGACTTCTTCAATCAAATCAACATGTTATATGGTACCATCACAGAGTTCTGCACAACAGACAAATGTCCCGTCATGTCTGCTGGACCAAAGTAAGTCTTTAACTGTCTCTTCATACAGTCGACCTCACACAAGCAACATTGTCTGTGTCAAATAACCTTAATAAGTACATGATAACAAAATGTCCTAATATTTCTTCATAGACTTATGTGCCTTGGTCAGGTTTTTAAAGGTGAATATTCAATAATCCCCCAAGTCGAAGTCCAAGTTTATCGACTACCTCAGGACGTGGGTCCAACTTCAGAACAATTCACATTTGCTCATCTCACAGTGTGTCCTGTATGACTGTATGATTTTTATCCCTTTATTTCATCCCTTTATTTCATCCAAACATTTCAAGTCCCTTGATCTGACCATTGACTAATGACTATACCAGAGCACCACTATTATTCAATGATAGGTCAATATTTTTTTTATTTTTTGTTTTGTTTTGAATGAAAAAGTGCTGGATAATAGTTTTGTGGTACAGAACACATGACACGGAATCACCCTATATCACATTTTGTCCAAAATTGTTTCATACACCTGTAGATAGGTACATGTATTATAATTATAATATTATATTGCACATATTTTTTTTCATCCAGGTATGAATATCATTGGGCAGATGGGCAGACAGTGAAGAAACCCATCAAGTGTTCAGCGCCCAAGTACATCGACTACCTCATGACGTGGGTCCAGGATCAACTGGACGACGAAACAATATTCCCTTCAAAAATAGGTTTGTAGAATGATTTTGCTTTCTTCTTGGGAATTACATTGAGAACTTTGGGGATTGGAAATTGGGGAAAAAAGAAGGATATATATAGGACTGATTTTTAAGATAAATGTTGGTTCAGGCTGTGAAGGGGATTGAGAGGTATTTCACTTTTCATTTCACCATTAAGTACCGGGTACAGCGGGTAGAGGATAAATTGGCAAGCATTAACAAAAAAATTCTCATCTTAAAATATTTCATGGTTTTACTTTCCCATTATAACAAAGTTTTTGTGGAATTTCATCATTATGTACTTATTGAATTTGAAATATTAGATCAAAGAAGTTATAGTATCTTTTCTCAATGTATTTAATATTGTTTTCAGATATATGTTGGTAGTATCCTACACAAATGAAAGAAAACCTTTTTTGTTGTGTTCAGATACTTTTGTACCCCTCATAGAAGACTTATGGTTTTTAATATACAACTCTATCTCTCTCTCTCTCTCTCTCTCTCTCTCTCTCTCTCTCTCTCTCTCTCTCTCTCTCTCTCTCTCTTTCTCTCCCTCCCTCCCTCCCTCCCTCCCTCCCTCCCTCTTACCCTCTCCCATCCCTCCATCCCTCCCTCCCTCCCTCCCTCCCTCCTTTTTCCTCTCTCCTCTCTCCCTTCTTCCCTTACCAAACCCCAACAGGTGTGCCTTTTCCCAAGAACTTTATGACAATAGCCAAGACGATCCTGAAGAGGTTATTCCGGGTGTACGCCCACATCTACCACCAGCACTTCAAGGAGATCGTCATCTTGGCGGAAGAAGCCCATCTCAACACCTCATTCAAGCACTTCATCTACTTCGTCCAGGAGTTTAACCTTATCGACAGGAAAGAGCTGGCACCGCTCCAGGAACTCATTGATAGATTCTCAAACAAGTGATAGATGTGGGAACGTCGTTGAGACAGAGACTCGATAGAAGCGATTCTTGTAGTTTATCCAGGACTTTAACCTCAGCAACTGGAAGCAGTCCCCGCTCCAGGAACTTAGCGATAGGTTTTGAAACGAGTGATCAATGTCATTGGATGTTGGATCCTTGTTTAACAAGATGGAGTCTTGGTATGAGCAGTCTATCTAGTTTGTTCAGGAGTTCAACGTCGGTGAGTACGAGCTGGCCCCACTCTAGGAACTAATATTAATAGGTCCTCAAGCAAGTGATTCCCTGATGATGTCAACAAGGGCAGGATCTTGATGACGTGGTGTTGCTGACCAAGCAAGAGCCTTGATTATTCATCTAGTTTGTCCAGTAGTCCAGTGGACCCCGATCCGGAAACTCATCAAGGTTTCTCAAGCAAGCGATGCCAGCCGATGTTACCCATGTCCCAAGTCCTCGCAAACTGAGAGGAAGAGACGATGTATTCAAGTGATCCATCTCCTTTCGTCCTGGGCTCCATTTCACAAAGACTTCTTTCAATGACAAATGACAAAAGTCAGTGACAAATCTGCTGATAACCAGGCAGGGATTTCAGTAGCTTATAACAAAAACTGTCATTTGTCACTGATGACAAGTTTTGTGAAATGGGGCCCAGGAGTGTCACCTCATCCACCGACCGAACAGAACTGGCCCTGTTTCAGGAGTTCCAAAAGTATGTGATCCTAACCAATGGCTGTCCTGCTTGCAGCAGCCATCAGAGTCGACATTGCTAACCGAGATAGAGACTCGATTCAAAGTAACAAGGTTTGAAGAGGAAGATAAAAGAGGATGGTTCATATTTATATTTAATCTGGATATTCCAAAGTAATATTTCTTAGAGAAAACTGGTTCTGTTCCCATGAAGTAGTCATCCTAAAACAGACAACTTGTCTGCTGACCCCACGTGCATGATAATACCCAACCACACTTCAGTTATTTTGTGTAGAGATTTATTTATTTATTATCATCTATTAAGAGCAATGTCATTAGTTATGAGGAATTAATGAAGTTCCTCACTATTTAAGATCAATATTATATTCAATTGTAACAGTCCTTCCCATATTCAGGTTTCCAGCCAGTGTATCATGCAGTTATTTTAAATGTTTACATGAAGAAGACAGCCTGGTTGATTATTCCAGAAACTTCCCTTAAGTTATTTATTCTAACATTTCAACACGACTGTTACACTCCTTTGTAGCAAATTATTGAAGGATTGTGAACTGTTATTTATTATTTAACAGTTTGATATCTACAGAGTATAAAACAAAAGATGGAATGGTAGAGAGCCATACTACTTGCTGCAAGCTTAGAGATTCTAAAATCTATATTAACACAACTTTTCAAAGTTGCTTTGCTCTTTAGCCAGAACTATTTGACAGAGAAGAAAAACTGTTGATTTTCTGACCTTTTATAGTTATTTTAATCTTTGAGATAACATGTACTGGCTTGTATATCATAGAGGTGTTCAGTAGATGTATGCTGCAATATTTAAGAACAGAAATTGAAAGAAATTAATTTGTGTGTTTGGAGAAGCAAAAAATGTAGGCCTTGCAATTAATTGTATGCATTTTGCGAAGATCATCTCAGTTTTATATCTAGGTTACATGATTATAAGTTCTGGGTCCGGTTTCATAAAACTTGTGTTCTATGCGTAAGGCCAAGAGAAATTACTGGCTCTTTTGTTCAGGCCCCTTGATTGTACCATCAGTTCCTGTGCCATAAAATTGTAAGAGAGATTTTATATGTAAATCCAAATTAGTAGTCACTCTTCAACCAATTCATGTAGCTATTGAGTTTACAGAAGGATATACAACTGATTTTCCATGAATTTTTATTTTACAGGGCTTTTTTTAAATTGATTTATGCTGCATATAGAATGTAAAATTTTCATTTTGAAAAACAAGGAGGGAAGCTTAGTGTTTGTGAAATATGATTCAAGCTACTACTCAAGATCTCATTATGGGCTCTTGTGATCCTAGTAACCTTTCATGGACAACCTTTCAAGAAATGTTAGATGCAGAGAAATGTTGTTTCCTTGTACTTGTATGATCCCTGCAGTCATTACAAAGTTCAAACCTGACTAGGAGTTAGTCTGCGAGCACAGACTCTAGTTTGACACTTTAACCACAAGTCCTAAAACCTTGAGCAGACCCTATTGTAGTCTCATAGTGCAGACACTGTTACGCACAACAACTGCATGGGTTAGCGCATGCAGTCTAACTTTGAGCTACTTTTGTTTTTTTCAATGTCCTTTTCCTTATAAAAAAAAGACATATGAACATATAAAATAACGGTAATTATTTTCAAAGAATATGGCTGGATTGCTCTATTCAGAGCTATTAATTGAATGGCCCTAATGGTGTGAATCTGTTCTTTAAACTTTGGTTTAACATTAAATGAAATGAAACAAAATATGTCATTCAGTCTTTGAATTAGAAATTTAAAGATACCATAAATACCATTGATAATTTGATATCTTCTTGTAAGTAAGCTATAGTAGAACATTGCTTGTGTTCTGAACTTCCATATTGTACCTTTAGTACCTACATGTAAATCCAAAGAACTTGTTACACTTTACTGAAACTGGCCTGGCTTTTTGTAAAAGTCAAGGAAAAAGCAGTTGAAAGATTCACCTTTTAGTGTTGAAATGTTAATGTATTCAAACTACCTTCATTGTGAAATGCTTTACCGTTGTTGTAGAAATGACTGTTCATTTTTGTGACAAAAGAAGACTTGGTTTCTGTTGGGGTTTTCATCTGTATATATTTTATATGTATTTACTTTTCTTCTCCAAAACATATTTCCTTTTGACTTTTATGCCTTATGTTTTGAAAGATTGATATTGTGTTCCTATATCATTTTATAGAACTTTGTTTTTATTGATCATTAGTGGATGTTTCTATTGTTTTTGATAAAATTGTAGAATATCCGGGCATATGTATTGGATGGATGTGATGATCAATTGTGTGTCCGTCTTTAACATTTCTACCCTGTGAAAAATATTCCTTCTATGTTCACCGTCCATGGTATTGGTCAAGCAATAATAAAAAAAAAAATTAATGTGATGGATTGCTATAAAATGGGTGTAAAAACCAATATGTGTGAAAGAACTGTACTACAGGTTTCTCTAATTAACTAAACAATTTTGCACTTCTTAGGCAATGCTTAAATTTCATGTACCTTTTCTAGTTTTCATGGCTAGTCATGTTCATATCATCAATGCAGTAAAGAGAAAATTCCTTGCACTTCTAGGGTTTCTTGCTAAGCTTATATTAGAATGTTAGAAGGAATTAATGCTCACAAATGCTAGCAAAAACTAAAAGGCACACCGCGATAAAATGACTCACTCGCTCCATATTGAGAAACTCAACTGGGATCTGCTCTGTTTAATCCAAGTAATCCAATCCAATTTTGAAAGTTTATGATGCAGGACTAATATTAATCCTCCATAATAGTCCCACATCATATAGATTTGTGTTGGGATCATAAAGCAACAGGAAAAGCTTGTCCATTATGATTTCCATGTAAATGCCCATTTTATTGAATTATTTTACAGAGAGGACTTTCGATACTCTTATAGGAGTGAAAAACAATTATTTCCCCTCCTTCCCATATGAAATCATCCTCAATTCCCAAAATAAGAAATGGGTTAATTTATTATTAAAGGCAGTTGTATTGAGTGTCATTATGGAGATTGAAAAGGAAATAATTCTGTATGGTTGGCTGTTTTTTCACTGTCCTATGCCAAAAAAAAATGTTAGAAATCATGTGATAATGTAATCAAGATGTATACATTTCCAAAAAGCAAACCTTTATAAATAAATTATAACATTTGAACAGGAATTCTGTACAAGTTTGAAATTAGACTTGGTTCTAAGAAGCATTTCCTTATTATAAATGCCTATGCCTTTAAAGACACCATAGCTGTTATGTATTCAATGCATTTAAAACCTTGAGAAAACTGTAGTTGTATGTTAAGTATGTTTGACTATGTCAACAAATATGTGTAAATTGAGTCAGAGGCTATATTGCTTAGAAGGTCCTATTTGGTTTTGTCTCAAAGTCATAGTAACCGTACCAAATATTATGGTTAACCATTTTCAGCAGATTTATTGCTTTATTGTGTTTTTCTTCAGTTTCTCCTTTTTATGTGGATCTGAAAGAAGAAATGACTGAAACTTGTTATAAAGATGTTGGTTAAAAAGATCAACTAGATACATATCTTTGGAATGCATTAAAAACATATGAAAATACAGACATTATATTATAGTGCATGCTGTTTTATGTTACAAACTCAAAGTGATGCAAAGTTATAGAATTATTCTTATCTCATGACATAGATGGAGTAATACACAGTCATGCTGGATGAAAAACTGTAGAAATTGCTATATTAATCCTATATTTAGTATATTACAGAGAGAAATAAACAGTGAAATGTATTTGATAGAGACAGTTTCCAGCTACATATATTTTTGCAAATTTGGCTTAATTGGCTAGTCCAGAATCTGATGTAGTTTGAACTCATTTGCATACAATCTACAGCCCATCAGCAAACGTTTATCATCGTGTTTATCAGTAAACAAAAAACAAAAATTAATTAGGTTTTGATATGTCTGTATTTAATTAATAAAATGGAGAATCAAAAGCAATAGCTTCATGAAGGTATACTAATATATTAGGAATGTAATTAACATTTTATTCTGCAATTTTGTCAACAAGTAAACATCCAAATTGCTAAGTGAGTCAGATATTGTTATGCATCACATTACTGGTGTGATATGATCTAGGGATAATTTGTCTCTTTTTTCTTGAGGATTTTACACACCCACACACTTCTCTGAGGCTCTTTCTGAAACTCTAACCCTAACCGAAAAGCATTCTTTATATGTTTATGAATACAATGATACACAGTTATAAGTATTATCATATATGGTATATGTATCTTTATACAATGCACAATCAATTGTCTATACTGTATTTCTTTTATTATGTAGGGGAGTACATGTAAACTGCATGTACCTATCCTAGGGGGTGTTTCACAAAGATTTTAAGTTGAACTCAACTCTAAGTTGGACTTAAAAATTATGAAGAGCCATTCGTAGCCTTAGAATAAAATATATTCTAAAGCAAAAACTCAAGTATTTTAGACTTTTTATTAATTCCACAACAAGAACATGAAATCTCCTTGATAAAAGAAAATATGAATGATTTGAAACCACATTTCATGCCTTTTAAAATATCTTTTACAAAATATTTTCAAAGAAGCTAGTGGCTTTCCATAATTGTTAAGTCCAACTTTGAGATAAGTGCAACTTAGGATCTTTGTAAAACACCCCCTGGTGTGTTTTTTATACCCTCCAATCCTTCCAACAGTCCTTTCCAACATCGGCAGTATATGAGTCCATCTCGCCAGTGATTGAGGCGTTGTATCCATATTCAACTGTGCTAAGGTGTAGGGTATTTGCACACAGTCTGAGCACTTTGCATTTCTATTGTTATTGAATGAGGGAAGATAATCTGTGTTTATCTGGCGGAATTGG